AAAAAAAAAAAAGAAAGACACAGGGCAGAGACACCAGGGCATGGCTCTGTGAGGGCATGGATATGAGGCTAGAGGAGCCCTGGGGCTGCCTTTACTACATGGGTCTGCTCCAGCCCTCGCCTGGGGAGTCAGGGAAGGAGAACGGTCTAAGAAATAACAAAGGGGCTTTTGGGCGGGGTTTCCCACCCAAGTTCAAGAGGAGAAGCAGACATCTGTGTCACTGAGAGCAGTGTGGCCAGGCCAATCAGGGGCTGGCTTTAGCCATTGCTGGGCAGGAAACCCGTGCATGCCCGCGTGTACCCTTGGCTGTGTTTTGCTCTGGTCATCAGTCATTTCTTAGGAAAGTTCCTTGTCAAAGCTCCAAGTTTGGCTTGGCTGATTCAAGGGAAAAGGAGACTTGTCTGCAGTTGAGTGGGGAAACCAGAGTGCTCAGAGCCAGTTCCAAGGGGCATGGAGCTAGGGCCAAGGCATTTCTGGGCAGCTTCATTGGCCACTGTTCTTGGAGCAACTTCCTGAACCCCTTACCCACCTCCTTCCCCTCCACACATCAAAGACAGTTTGGGCTGCTCTGAGTGGAAGCCCTGCACATCCTTCAGTCCTCCAAGGCCAGCCCCTCCCACCAGGGGAGCATCTGCCTTGGTGGGAGGAACCTCTCCTCTCTCAGGGCCCCCCCCAGAGGACAGGCAGAGGAGCTGGCCCCTGTGATGCCCCCTGGAGATGGGCAGGGACCCAGGGTGGCATAGGCAGGGGGAGGGGCTGTCAAGGCTGGGGAGGGAGCAAGGCCCGGCTGCGACAAGGACAGAGACGTGGGGTGGGGGCAGAAGTGGGAGGGGAGGGACGATGCCGGGGTGGAGGCCACCTCCTGGGCACCCCTGCCCCCTCGGCCTGGAGACCAGTATCGGCTTCGGAACCTTCGGAGCAGCATGAGGAACGTGATGACCAGCAGATCAAAGATGAGCTCAGCCATCTCCACCACAGACAGCACCGAGGAGCCGAACCACAGGCTCCACTGGCTGCCCAAGTTGGACAGGAGGGTGACCATCTGTGAGAGGAGAGGCACACTGATGACGGGGCAGAGGGCTCTGGGCAGGCTCTGGCAGAGGAGCCCCCATCCCTCCTCACCAAGCTGTTTCCCCTCATCCCTGAGGATGCCCGAGTCCTCAGCCTCGCGGCGGCCCCCTGGGCTCCTTGTCTCTGCTCCTGGCCAGTGTCACCCAGAGAAAACTGAGAACTGGCCCCACAGTCAGGGGCAGCTGCAATGGGGACATGGCTCGAGCACCTTCCCCCCAGCATCTGGCATGCCTGTCCCTCCCACCATCCCCGCAGACATTATGCCCTGGCTCAGCTCCTTTGTTCAACCCTCCCTAACTCCCCCCTACCCTCTTCTTTGGTCCCCTGCCTTGGAGACCCAGAGCCTTCTGACCCCACAGAGACAACCTTTTGGGTTTCCCTGACAGCTGCCCTGCTAAGACAGACCCCCAGAGCATCACAGGTTCCATCCAGGCAGGACCCACCGTGACAGAGGGAGACTCGGAATTGGTTTTGTAGTTCAGCTCCTTGAAGAAGATGTTGACTTTGGCCACTCCATTCCTTAGGTGTGGGTCAGAGGGCGGGAAGAAATGGCAGAGGATGAGCTTCCTGGACCTTCGTCTAATCAGCCATATCGACCCCTCTTCCTAGATCTATTTTCCCTCCCAAAGATCCCTTTCCTGCGGCTGGGACCAGGGCAGGACTGACCTCTTGTTGTTGATGGTGTAATTGTTCTGCCGGGATAGCATCTGGAAGACCCATTCCTAGGAAAGAATGGGGTGTCATCAAGGTCATCCCGTACTCTTCAGGCTTACAGGGATAGGGTTGTGTCAAACACACTCATACATATACCCAGAGAAGGCCACAGCATCACGTGGGCACACACATCCCCGACCCGTCCCTTCCCCACACTCTACCTGGGATGTCACCGAGGGCCATCGTGAGTAACCAGCAGAGAGCTGGTAGCTGGTCACACTGGGGATGGAAAAAGGTGCTCAGTGTTGGGGGCAGAGCTCTCCCACTCAAAGGTTGGGCTGGGTAACCTGTATCGTACCCAACCTGTACCCTCGGCAAGGGACGCTCACCTGCATGGCTTCCGGCACTTGGTGAAACAGCCCAGGTGGTCCGAGGAAAAGTCAGCCTGGAGCTTATAGTAGCAGTAGCCTGTGGGTACAGAGAAATGCCCGCTTTCCTAGGGCACCTCAGCTTCCTCCGCCCCACACCCAAGAGGTCTCCCCAGATCTCTGAGTACCCACTTTACAAGAGCATTAGTTAGCATTACAATGATGCCTTATGAGTAGCAGTACCAAGAAGTGTCTTATGACTGGCAGTACCAGAAAGTGTTTAAGAAATTAAGCTATTGGCAACAAAAGCCAACATAGACAAATGGGACCTAATCAAACTCCACAGCTTCTGCACGGCAAAAGAAACAGTCATTAGAGTGAATCAGCAACCAACAGAATGGGAAAAACTTTTTGCAGTTTACCCATCTGACAAAGGGCTGAGAGCCAGAATTCACAAAGAACTAAAACAGATTTACAAGAAAAAAACAAACAAGCCCATTCAAAAGTGGGCAAAGGATATGAACAGACACTACAAAAGAAGACATACATGAGGCCAACAAACATATGAAAAAATGCTCATCATCACTGGTCATCAGAGAAATGCAAATCAAAACTACATTGAGATACCATCTCACGCCAGTTAGAATGGCGATCATTAAAAAGTCTGGAGACAACAGATGCTGGAGAGGATATGGAGAAATAGGAACACTTTTACACTGTTGGTGGGAGTGTAAATTAGTTCAACCATTGTGGAAGAAAGACAGTGTGGCGATTCCTCAAGGATCTGGAAACCGAAATTCCATTTGACCCAGCAATCCCATTACTGGGTATATACCCAAAGGATTATAAATCGTTCTACTATAAGGACACGTGCACATGAATGTTCATTGCAGCACTGTTTACAATAGCAAAGACTGGAACCAACCCAAATGCCCATCGATGATAGACTGGACAGGGAAAATGTGGCACATATACACCATGGGATATTATGCAGCCATCAAAAACGATGAGTTTGGGTCCTTTGTAGGGACATGGATGAACCTGGAAACCATCATTCTCAGCAAACTGACACAAGAGTAGAAGATCAAACACCGCATGTTCTCACTCATAGGCGGGTGTTGAACAATGAGAACACGTGGACACAGGGAGGGGAGCGCTACACACTGGGGTCTGTTGCGGGGAAATAGGGGAGGGAGAGTGGGGGGTGGGGAGTTGGGGAGAGATAGCGTGGGGAGAAATGCCAAATATGGGTGATGGGGAGGAAGGCAGCAAATCACGCTGCCACATGTGTACCTATGCAATAATCTTGCATGTCCTTCACATGTACCCCCAAACCTAAAATGCAATAAAATATATTTAAAAAAAAAAAAAGAAAGAAAGAAATTAAGCTATCCGGGCATGGTGGTTCACGCCTGTAATCCCAGCACTGTGGGAGGCCAAGGTAGGTGGATCACCTGAGGTCAGGAGTTCGAGAACAACTTGGCCAACAGGATGAAACCCTGTCTCTACTAAAAATACAAAAATTAGTTAGGTGTGTGTGGTGGTGTGCACCTGTAATCCCAGCTACTCAGGAGGCTGAGACAGAGAATCGCTTGAACCTAGGAGGCAAAGGTTGCAGTAAGCTGAGATTGCACCATTGCACTCCATCCTGGGCAATAAGAGTGAAACTCTGTCGAAGAAGAAAAAGAGAGAAGCAAAGAAGAGGAAGAAAAGGAAGAAGAAGGAGGAGGAGGAGGAGGAGGAGAAGGAAGGAAGGAGAAGAAGGAGAAGAAAAAGAGAAGAAGGAGAAGGAGAAGGAGAAGAAGAAGAAGAAGAAAGGAGAAAGAAGAAAGAAGAAGAAGAAATTAAGCTAGTCCAGGGACAGCGGTTCAGCACTTTGGGAGGCTGAGGTGGGAGGGTCGTTTGAGCCCAGGAGTTGCAAGTGAGCTATGATTGTGCCTTTGCATTCCAACCCTGGCAACAGAGTGAGACCTTTTCTCTAAAGAATAAAATAGAAATTAATAAAGAAAGAAAATAAGCTAAGTCTGGGGAAAAACAAAACAGGATACACCAGTGTAAGGAAATATAGGCTGTGGACAAAAACTTAAAAGCCATAAAGAAAAATGGGAGCAATCATTGTATGAGAATAAGGGAATTAAACCACAATAAGATACCACTTCATGCCCACTAAGATGTCTATTATTTTAAAAAAGACAATAAGCCAGGCGTGGTGGCTCATGCCTGTAATCCCAGTACTTTGGCAGGCCAAGGTGGGTGGATCACCTGAGGTCAGGAGTTCGAGACCAGCCTGGCCAACATGGTAAAACCCTGTCTCTACTAAAAATACAAAAATTAGTTAGGCATGGTGGCGCACACCTGCAGTCCCAGCTTCTGAGGAGGCTGAGGCAGGAGGATCACTTGAACCCAGGAGGCAGAGGTTGCAGTGAGCCAAGATTATACCACTGCACTCCAGCCTGGGCAACAGAGTAAGACTGTCTCAAAAAAAATAAAATTAAAATTAAGAAAGACAAATAACAAGAACTGTCAGGATGTGGAGAAACTGGAACCTTCTTACACTGCTGCTAGGAATACACAATGGTGAGGTCGCTTTGGAAAATAGCCTGGCAGCTCCTCAAAAAGGTTAAATATAGATTACCATATGACCCAGCAATTCCACTCCTAGGTGTATAGCCAAGAACATGGAAAACATGTGTCCACACAAAAACGTGTATACAAATGCTCACAGCAGCATTATTCACAATAACCAAAAAGTAGAAGCAACATAAATGTCCACTAACTGATAAATAGGTAAGCAAAGTGTGGTCTAGCCATACAAGGGAGTTTTGTTATTCAGCTATACAAAGGCATGAAGCACTGCTGTTGCTATAATACAGATGAACATTGAAAATATTACGCTAAGTGAAATAAGGTAGACACAAAGATCACATGTTCTAAGATTCTGTCTATATGAAAGATTCAGAATAAGGCCAGTCGTGGTGGCTCACTCCTGTAATCTCAGCACTTTGGGAGGCCGAGGTGGGCGGATCATGAGGTCAAGACCAGCCTGGTTAACACAGTGAAACCCAGTCTCTACTAAAAATAGAAAAATTAACTGATTGTGGTAGCAGGCGCCTGTAATCCCAGCTACTTGGGAGGCTGAGGCAGGAGAATCACTTGAAACTGGGAGGTGGAGGCTCCAGTGAGCTGAGACCATGCCATTGTACTCCTGGGTGACAGAGCGAGACTCTCTCAGAGAAAAAAAAGGCTGAGTGTGGTGGCTCATGCCTGTAATCCCAGCACTTTGGGAGGCTGAGGTGGGTGGGTCATGAGGTCAGGAGTTCAAGACAAGCCTGGTCAATATGGTGAAACCCCTCTCTACTAAAAAATACAAAAATTATCTGGGCATGATGGCAGGCACCTGTAGTCCCAGCAACTCGGGAGGCTGAGGCAGGAGAATTGCTGGAACCCGGTAGTTGGAGGTTGCAGTGAGCCGAGATCGCGCCATTGCACTCCAGCCTAGGCAACAGAATGAGACTTCATCTCAATTAAAAAAAAAAAAAAAGAAAGAAAGAAAGATTCAGAACAGAATAGGCAAATCCATAGAGAAAGAAAGAATTGTGATTGCCCTCGGGCTGGCAGTGGTGAAGGAGGGGAGGGAATCTTGGGAACTGCTAATGAGTAAAAATATTATTTATTTATTTTTTTGAGACAGGATCTCACTCCATCACCCAGGCTGGTATGCAGTGGCCTGATCATGGCTCACTGTAGCCTCGACCTCCTGGGCTCAGGTGATTCTCTCAGCCTCCCAAGTTGCTGGGATTACAGGTAGGTACCACCATGCCCAGCTAATTTTTGTATTTTTAGTAAAGACAGGGTTTCGCCATGTTGGCCAGGCTGGTGTCAAACTCCCGGGCTCACATGATCTGCCCACCTTGGCCTCTCAAAGTGCTGGGATTACAGGCGCAAGCCACCGCGCCCGGCCTGAGCGAGTACATGGTTTCTTTTGGGCACACTAAAAATATTCCAAAATGGATTGTGGTGATGATTGAGCAACTCTGGGACTGTACTTAAAACCTAAAACTAAAAACTAAAATTTTACTAAAATAAAGTTGTACATATTAAATGAGTGAATTGCATGGGATAAAATTCTCTCAATAAAGCTGTTACCAAAAAATAAAATAATGGAACTGTAGATTCTCCTCCTCCCCCATTTCTCAAATTCTAAGTAATGTTATTTTGTCACTATTGCTACTTTTAGTTCCTCAGTCCAAAGTCCTTCTTCATTTCTGGCCCAAATCCCTACCAGGGCTGGAGATCTTTAGGAAGAAGGGGAGGCAGCTGGCCCTCCTCCCCAGGGAAGTAAGCCCTAGGAAATGAACAGACTGTGCTTTCAGCCTTACTTCCTCCCTCATCCTCACGACTCCTCAGCAATCAATATTCTTATTTTTCATTCACAGCTGTGCAAACCCACAAAGTAGAAATAATTATTTGAGGGCAGGGAGGAATGATGGGTGACGTCCCCTCTCTCCTGGTCCTGCATACCCTGGGATGTGTCACATCCTCCCTCTGGACCTCAATTTGCTCATGTAAGAAAGGAGGTGAGGCCAGATGGCCTTTGGGTTTCCCCCAGTTCTGATGTGCTACAATCCTCTAAGGTCAGAGAGACAGGAACCAGGAGGCCACAATTGGAAAGTCCAGGCAGAAGAAAACTGCGGAGCCAGCCCAGGAAAGAAGCGGAACAGTCACCACAGGAGCGAGGCAGGGATGGACGTGGACGCTGAGCTCTGGGATGAGACAATCCACTGCCTTTGAGGGCCTCTGTGTCTCCAGTGCCCGTTATCTCGTCACCTCCCTCGATGGCCCTCAGCCCACCCTGTGGGACAGCTGGGTCCAGCAGAGCCCTGGGAGGAGGAACCACAGGGGGACAGGCCAGCTGTGCCAGGGAAGAGCACACACTCCAGGAATAAAAGCCCTTGGAGCTTCCGAATTTCTTTTTGTGATGTTCTTTCTCTCAGCTTCCTGGCACACAGCTTCCCTGCCAAACAACTCAGCCGTAGTCGAAAGGAAAGAGATTTGCTACTCCTACACCAGGATAAGGAGGAGATTCCAAGGTGCTCCAAACTTTGATTGTGCCCTTGTTCAGGTTAAAAAATATATATCTGGGCCGGGCGCAGTGGCTCAAGCCTGTAATCCCAGCACTTTGGGAGGCCGAGGCGGGTGGATCACGAGGTCAAGAGATCGAGACCATCCTGGTCAACATGGTGAAACCCCGTCTCTACTAAAAATACAAAAAATTAGCTGGGCATGGTGGCACGTGCCTGTAATCCCAGC